AATAAGATATATGATCAAACTAGGTGTCACTATTTTGGTTCAAAAATGATTATTATAATGCACTGAGATAGATTTTCTTGAGTGATTTATAAAACTGACTCCAAAGGCCATTCTAGAATATTAACAAGGGTTCTAAGCAGTGGAATGGGTATATTTTATTTTCCCAACTTCTTTGAATGATAATATTTGAATATAAAAACACCAATATAAGGTCTGCTTTGAATAATCATTTTACAACTCCTAAATAAAAGGTCCCTGTCTTAGTGTTCAATTGCTGTACTAAGACATCATGAACAAAAGTAACTTGGAGAAGAAAGGGTTTTTATTTTGCACTTCCAGGTAACAGTTCATCACTTAGGCAAGTCAGGGCAGGAATTCAAGCAGAGAGAGAACCTGGAGGCAGGAGCTGATGCAGAAGCCATGGAGGGGAGCTTCTTTCTGGCTTACTCCTCATGGTTTGCTCAGCCTGCTTTCTTTCAGAACCCAGGACCACCAGCTTAGAAGTGGCGAACCCTCTTCTATCAATTGTTAATCAAGAAAATGTCCCCACAGGCTTGTCCACAGACCAAACTTGTGGGGGTGGCACACATTTTCTCAACTTAGGTTCCCTCTTCCAAATGACTCTAGCTGATGCCAAGTTGAAAAAACACTAGCCAAAATGGCCCCTCAGTATACTGAACATACTGTCATAGAAGGAAGGACATGTAGGGTAGAGCAAAAAGCTTCAGAAGGAACTTGACCTAGATTAGAATCTCGATTTGCTTCACAACTGCCTGTCTGACTTTAGAGAAGTCCAGACTCTCTAAAATGAAACTGGCTGGGGCCAGAGAGATTAATCAATAGGCAGAGGTACTTGCCACTGGCCTGACTTGAATTTAATCCCCAAGACCAACATGCTGGAAGAAGAGAACTGACTTCTGCAAGCTATTCTCTGACCTCCATATGCATACTGTGCCATATGTGCACCCAGACATACACAAAACAAAAAAGTATTAAAATTAGAAAATCAAATAAAATGAGGCTGATTTCTGATATGTAGGGCTATTGTAAAGAGTAAGGATAACGAAAAATAAAGTGCCAACACTGTGTTGACACATGGTGGATGCTCATAAGTCATTGCTATTATTAACAACTATTAGTCAGTAAAAGTCAAGACAATATTCTATCAGTGGCTTTATACGCCCACCAATGGATATGCAGTCATCCTGACAGTAATTTGTTATCAGTACTGACAGTACGCTCATAATGACAGATCAGTGGCCAACTTCTAAAAGTTTAAGGATTATTTGGAGGAACTAACACAATGTACTTTTTACAGTGCTAGAGAGAATCAAACCTGCATGTTAGACAAAAGCTCAACCACTAAACTATACCCTAACCTCAACAGCATGTATTTTTTAACACTGCACACATTATGTGCAGTGATCATACTACACTATCCTTCCTTTTTAACAATTCTTTTGAAAACATACTACTTTATTTTATATGAATAGATGTATTGCCTGTATGCATGTCTGTACACCATGTGCGTATCTGGTGGCTGCAGAGGCCTTTAGTGAACTGTCACAGCAATCACATTATTTTTTTTCCTGATTTCAAATAAAAGACAACTTACAAAGACTAAAGAGCAGCTTTAGAATAAGGAGTATACAAGAAGATTGCAAAGATAATTTAGTTCATTAGGATTACATGTCCATATAAGGAAGCCCCACCCTCACCCCAAAGGCATTTTTCAGTCTTTGTTTCAGTCTAGAATACCCAAGGAATACACTGCACTCCCATCAGGAGCCCACTACAGATGAGTCAGTAGGCTAAGCAGACTTCTCACAGCCTTTCAATGCTGTTTGGCTGGCAGAGCTGAAGGGCCTTCTCTAACAAATAACAACTCTACCAAAAGAGTAGACAACCCTGAGGCCTTGTGGTATAGTCAGGTTGCCGATTTAAAGTCACATACACCCAAATCTGTACCTCCCAGGGACAGACATTCTGGAATCAGATTCCCATCTCTGTAAACTTTTAATAGTCTGTTTAATCTGTAAAGCTGTTAGAGGCTTCAGGCAGTCAAAAAGAATTCTTGGTAGACATAGTATGTTTCAAGAATTTTAACTTGTGTAACTAAAAGGCAATTAGGGAAAGAAAGTTCATGATCAACCACTTCTGTGGCAGAGGGAAATAGGTAGAGGGTCAGCTGTTAGCCCTTCACAGCTGGGTGCTAAACACTTTTGAACCATTCTGTGTTACTACTATTTCTAGAAAAATGACAATATCACAGTGAATTTTCACTGACCAAGACTTGCAAGGTAGGAACCACCAAACCATAACAGTGGCTATATCTGTGCTACAGAAATAATCTCCAGAGCACATTCTTCTTTACTCTCAAAGTCCTTCCCATCTTGTCAATGGAATAGTTGCACTCTGAAGGGACATAGAAGGAAAATAGTCCATACAACGAGAAGGAAAGCAGTCATTGAACAAAGCAGTTCTAGACTGTTCCTACAAGCTCTGTTGAGTTACCATTCATTTTGCAAATACTTACAGAGCCAGCTGTAATATCATAGAAACAACAGTAATAGAAGTCACAGGTTTGGTCTCACATGGTTTGAATTTCAGTAGGGGAAGAGAAATATTAAATAAACAAAAGGACACATGCAAGGGCACAGATAAGTGCTCTAAACAGGGGACTATGTTATTCCACAGAGATTGGGGTTGGGGAAACTAGGACAACTTCTTTCACCAACTACCAAGTGAGTAGAGATTTCAATGGTAAATAGAAGTTACCAAAGTCCCTATTAAATAAGTAGGTATGATGAAGCCCGGGAGTAAGAGGAACATACACGAATTGGTTCAGAATAGAGACAAAGACAGCAGCACAAAGAGCTGAGGTCCACCCCTCAGTTTGATCTCCAGGTGTCTGAAAGGCTTTTGTCAGCATGGAGAAGATTAAAACACAATGTTAAAAACTAGATCAACCATAATACATAAAACACCACTATCTAAGAAAATCTAACCTGTTAATATCAACTCATCATTGTATTCTTGGAACATCTTTAAGGTAATACTATTCCTTCCCACTAATAATACTGAATCAGGACAATGGTGGCCTACAGGAGACCTTTTAAGTTATTTCAGGGAGAGATGCATTGTACTCCATTTAGAATTCAAGCACTAGTAAGTGTATTAATGATTATTATAAATCTCTTCAAAGCATTTCATTATAATTTTTAGACTTGTATTGGGAGGAAAAAAATGCTTAAGGAAAAAAAAATGGTTGTCAGTGGCGCACTACTGCTTTCACAGCTCTCAGGTAACTTGAAACAGCCTTGCAGCTTCTGGCCTAGCTGATCCCTAATAAACAAGTCACAGAACTTTCTATTTGTAACACTGGAATCAGCCATTAATTCAGGCGCAATAGCCTTGTGAACAATTATACTCATTCTATAGATAAAACTGACAGATAAGTGAGTTGCCCAAGGACATGGAAACCATTCAGCTTTTATTTCTCTTTCTAGAAAATATACAAGATGTGCCCAGCTTCAGTGCCATCCCCAAGTTGTCCTAGGAGCAGCAGAGGAAAAATTACAGTATAGTTATTCTAAATGAACTCCTCTCTGCAGAATAACTTCGAGGCCAACAGTGACAGCCACAGATCAAGGCCAGAAGAACACAAAGACAAATGAGAGCACCCAGTCTCTAGCAGTGGTTTTAGAATTTAAAGAAGACTGCACTCCAAATAGTACCCTCTCCCTCTCTCTCTAGTTCCTTTCATGTCCCACAAACAGCCAAGAAAGTGATCTCGCTGGGCTAGAAAAGTTCAGGAATGCACGATTAAATCCAATCGTCTATCCCTGCACTGGAGGCTGGGACTGACAAGACTAGCTTCCTTGAATGCTTGTCTTCGATCCTCCTTTTACATAGTAATGGACTAAAGAGATCAGTGAAGTGAACTAACCTCTCAGCTTATTAAAGAGGAACAAAGAATCACTTGGTTACCTATGGCCTCGTCTTCAATCTAGGTCTTGACTCAGTTTACTTCCAAAGACGTTTTCTAAGTACTTACTATATGACAGATGGGGTGGGTGGGTGGGAAGTGCTGTGGAAGGGGACAATCAGGAAGTGGTTTCTGTTTTGGAAGCTCACACCTCGCAGAGGGAACCGTTTTACAACAGTTTGGCAAGTGAACGGACAGAGATTTAGACTTTAGCCAGTGTTTTCTCTGCACTGCCCACTACGGATTTCAAGTCTTGGAAATAAGCAAAGCAATACCGACTTCTTGCGAATAAACTTACAGCAAAGGCTAAGAAAATGCGTATGGAAACGATCAGGTTCATCCCCCAAAGGTATTATGTAAGATTTACAATACCCTGGCAAAGACTCTAAAAATTCAGTATCTCAGATATCGGTTCGATAAATAAGCAAAGTAACGGCGGACAGGCATAAATCCAAGGAAAACTCCAAGAGCTGGAACTAGAGGAAACATCTGGGAAGGTGGCCGGGGGTGGGGGGGTGGGGTGTTGTCAGGGTCAAGAGAAATAGCCCTAGCACAGAGAATGGGGACAGGCAGGCAGAGCGGTGAGGTGAGGAAAAAGAGAAATCGAGACAGAGAAGTTGGAATACGATAGAAAGAGGACGACTGGAGAGCAATGGGCTTCCCTCCAGGAGGACACCGCTCCAAGCTGGGCAACTTGGGCCACGGCCGGTTGATTCCAGTTGGTGCGGGAGGAAGAAGTGGATGGACGGACTAAGAGGCCGACAACAGCTTTCCCGAGAGCAGCTGGCAGCCGTGAGGAGCCTCGGGCCGGTGCCGGGGTCCTCAGGCTCCAGCATCGCGGCCACCTCGCCTCTCCCAGCCGCTGCCCGAATCCAAGCCCCCGCCTGGCACCGCCAACGTAACCGCCTCACCTCGGGTTGAAGTCCTGAAAGAGGCCCCTCAGGTTCATGGCGGAGAACTTCACAGAGGCGTCCTCCTCTTCCCCCGCCCCCCGCGCCGCGAAGCCTGCGCCTCACAGAGGGTTCATGCTGCCAAAGCCAGCCGCGTCGCCAACGCCGCCGCGAGCAGAAACCCGAGCAACCAACCGCCTCTGACACTTCTTCCGGCTTCCGTAGCCAGAACGCGCATGCGCGCTGAGGATCCCCGCTCGCCAGGCCGGGAGGTTATTGGATGACCGGCTGTGGTTATTTTTGCTCCCCAATACCAGCTTGCTGGACAGAGCGGCTACAAAAAGAGGAGGGAAGGGATGGAGAACCTCAGGGATGGAGAGCGCTAACTGAGGGGGAAGCCCTTAAGAGGGTGAAAGCCAAACTGGAGTCCCAGGGTGAGATCATCATAGACACCTGTCACCCACCTGTCTCCCAGGCCCATACAAAGGTCTGGAGGATTCCCCCAAATTGACTGTACCTTTGAGCTACACCTACCAGAGTTGCCACTAAATCCAGTTTGCATATAAACTTCCTTTCCATGCTCCAAGCATACTGTGATATCCTGACAATTTCAAACTCACATTATCTTTCACCAAAGTCATCTATCTACCCTGTCAACCATGTCCCCATCCTGGGTTTCCACTGTCGTTAGCAGCAGGTCTATCCATCAGGATGCCCAAATTGAAGATGTGGAACTTATCCTTATCCTAATCTAGTTTAGAGTCTCCTTGGCTCCTGTTTGAACTTTGTGGTGGCTCAAGCTGGGCTTTTCCTATTCCCAGTCATACTATTTAGAACTGCCAGGTTCATCTTATTGGACAAGTTAGCATCTTGGTGGCTCAGATTTTGTCCTCTGCAAAACGGACACAAAAATCCCTACATTTCCACTTTGGTTAGGAAAGTTCAGAGAGATCATGCATAATGCATAGCCCTACCATATGTTAGATGTTCAAAGAATGCTGTTGCTAGCTGTTGTTCTTTTAAGTGCCAACCTTTTTAAAGAATTCTATTTACTTTTCAACTTCAAAAATGGTACAACGTCATAACAGAGGATTTAGTCTACCATATTTACTTCCAGCCAATTTAAGAGTTGTTGTTGTTTTCATCAGCACAACAATACCTTAAACATTAACTTGGGATCATTATGAGTAATACTCAACTTTGTTACAATAGCTGAGTTTCATGAATGGCAATTTTATGTTGGTTAGCCCCAGGGGAAGCTTAAGATGAATACAGTTGGGAGAATCATGCTTTGCCATGATGTATCATCTTTCTTCTGGAAACTTGAAAACATTCCACAAGTGGTAATTATTCTCCCTAACACCCACTGAGACATGGATATTATTATATGAGTCGTTTATGAGTGACTACCCTGAATGAAGCAACCAGCTACTGAAGCACCATGACCCTCTCTTAGAATTTTATCACCTTGCTGGAATGTTCCTTTATACTCTGTGAAGATATGTCACTGCGATTGGTTTAATAAAAAGATAAATGGCCAGTAGCTAGGAAGGATTTCTAGGTACAGTGGACACTGGAAAGAAGAAGGATTGAGAAGTCAGCCAGATGCAGAATGAGTCAAACACACAAAATGGCAAAGAGGTAAAAGCCACATGGTAGAACATAGATTAATTAAAAAAATGGGTATTTTAAGTTATAAGAGCTAGTGAGAAACAAGTCTGAGCTATCAGCTGGAGCTGTCACAATTAATAAGCCTCCATGTGGTTATTCAGGAGCTGGCTGGCAGGACAGAAAAAGTCTGACTACACCACCTTCTCTGACCATTCTCCTGATGATGTCCAATCTCTAGGCCTGAAGTCTCTCCCAGTGAATAGCAAAGTGCAGAAAAGCTAAAGCAAAGAGAAGCTTGCATAATATGCCCAGTACAAATTTGCTAGTGAAGGCTGAGAAACAAAGTTGCAACTTCACATTTCAGCAAAACAGAGTGCTAACAAAAGTTAACTGCCAATATACTGAGTAGCCAGTATCATCTTATTTTCCGAAGGTTTCACCTCAAGCAGACATCAAGAAAACAGATTTTCAGCTATAACTTTTGAATAACTCGAATCATGGTTTTCTCAAAAGATTCGTGGTAAGTTGCTTAGAGTACCAATGCTACTCTTGGTATATTACTGGGTACTCCTGGAACCGAGACACTTTTCTACGGGGTCATGAATTCAGTTTTAGCAGTTCCCTCTAGGGTAGGCCATGGGGATTTCTTATCCTGAATACCATGATAAAATTATATTAACATTGTCTTTATGTTCTTTTACTTTGACAAGCCAAGTTGCCATGAAAAAAAAATAAAAATGTCACGAGCCATTTCCCTCCTAAAAATCATTACAGGAACCATCACCCTGGGGAGTCTGCAGGGAACCTCACACCCATAATTATGTTCTATTGAGAACCTGCCCCACACCCAATTAAGCTGTTGATGGAGAGCTATCTGTTAGCGGAACCGCCTCACATTCCAGCTATCCAGGGAACTAGGTGTGGCAACTAGTGACTTTTTGGCTTACCTGTCCGAATGTCACCTGGCCTACGTGACCGGGACCACGCGGCGAGATCCCGTGCCCTGCCCCCCCATTCCTTACCATATATAAACTGTAACCCGTCCCTAATAAACGGAGGCTTTGACAAATCTGCTTGGCCACCTTCTTCTGTCCTAGCTCATTCCCTTCCAGGTAGCGCCCCTCCGAGACCCTGGAATAACTGATTGCAGGGTGGGTTACAACCCCTAGACTAGTGACCCACCCAAGGCGGCAACAGTGGCGCCTGAACAGGGACCTGAACCCTGGACCCTCAGGTCTTGTCTACTTCCCATATGCAAGCGGATGACTATATGTTTTTCTTTGTGTTCACCTTCTTATTTAGCTTCTCTAGGATCACAAATTATATGCTCAATGTCCTTTATTTATGGCTAAAACCCAATTATGAGTGAGTACATCCCATGTTCATCTTTTTGGGTCTGGGATACCTCACTCAGGATAGTGTTTTCTATTTCCATCCGTTTGTCTGCAAAATTCATGATGTCATTGTTTTTGTTTTTACCTCTGAGTAGTACTCTAATATGTATATATTCCACACTTTCTTCATCCATTCTTCCATTGAAGGGCATCTAGGTTGTTTCCAGGTTCTGGCTATTACAAATAATGCTGTTATGAACATAGTTGAGCAAATGGTTTTGTCATATGATAGGGCATCTCTTGGGTATATTCTCAAGAGTGGTATTACTGGATCTTGGGGTAGGTTGATCCCGAATTTCCTGAGAAATCGCCACACTAATTTTCAAAGTGGTTGCACAAGTTTGCATTCCCACCAGCAATGGATGAGTGTACCCCTTACTCCACAACCTCTCCAGCAAAAGCTATCATTAGTGTTTTTGATTTTAGCCATTCTGACAGGTGTAAGATGGTATCTCAAAGTTGATTTAATTTGCATTTCCCTGAACGCTAAGGAGGTTGAGTATGACCTTAAGGGTCTTTTGGCCATTTGAATTTCTTCTGTTGAGAATTCTCTGTTCAGTTCAGTGCCCCCCCTTTTTTAAAAATTGGGTTAATTAGCATTTTAAAGTCTAGTTTCTTGAGTTCTTTATATATTTTGGAGATCAGACCTTTGTCTGTTGCAGTGTTGGTGAAGATCTTCTCCCAGGCAGTGGGTTGCCTTTTTGTCTTAGTGACAATGTCCTTTGCTTTACAGAAGCTTCTGTTTCAGGAGGTCCCATTTATTCAATATTGTCCTTAAAGTCTATGCTGCTGGGGATATACGTACGAAGTGATCTCCTGTGCCCATCTGTTGTAGGGTACTTCCCACTTTTCCTTCTATCAGGTTCAGTGTGTTCAGCCTGATATTGAGGTCTTATATCCATTTGGACTTGAGTTTTGTGCATAGCGATAGATATGGATCTGTTTTCATTCTTCTACAAGTTGACAACCAGTTGTGCCAGCACTATTTGTTGAAGATGCTTTCTTTCCTCCATTGAATACTATTAGTTCCTTCATCAAAAATCAGATGTTCATAGGTTTGTGGGTTAAAATCCGGGTCTCCTACTCGATTCCATTGATCAACTTTTGTGTTTTTATGCCAATACCAAGCTGTTTTCAATACTGAAGCTCTGTAATAGAGTTTGAAGTCAGGGATGGTGATGCCTCCAGAAGTTCCTTTATTGTATAGGATTGTTTTGGCTATCCTGGGTTTTTTGTTTTTTCCATATAAAGTTGATTATTGTCCTCTCAAGATCTGTGAAGAATTTTGATGGGACCTTGATGGGGATTGCATTGAATCTATAAACTGCCCTTGGTAGAATTGCCATTTTTACTATGTTGATCCTCCCAATCCAAGAGCAAGAGAGGTCCTTCAATTTTCTGGTATCTTCCTGAATTTCTTTCTTTTAAGACTTAAAGTTCTTGTCAAATAGATCCTTCACTTCCTTGGTTAGAGTTACCCCAAGATATTGTATGCTACTTGTGGCTATCGTGAAAGGCGATGCTTCTCTGATTTCCCTCTCTGCTTCCATATCCTTTGTGTATAGGAGGGCAACAGATTTTTTGGAATTGATCTTGTATCCTGCCACGCTACTAAAGGTATTTATCAGCTGTAGGAGTTCTTTGGTGGAGTTTTTGGGGTTGCTTATGTACACTATCATATCATCTACAAATAATGAAAGTTTAAGTTCTTCCTTTCCAATTTGAGTCCCTTTGATCCCCTTATGTTGTATTATTGCTATTGGTAGACTTCAAGCACTATATTGAAGAGGTATGGAGAGAGTGGACAGCCTTGTTGTGTTCCTGAGTTTAGTGGGATGGCTTTGAGTTTCTCTCCATTTAGTTTGATGTTAGCTGTCGGCTTGCTGTAAATAGCTTTTATTATAGTTAAGTATGACCCTTGTATCCCTAATCTCTCCAAGACCTTTATCATAAAGGGATGTTGAATTTTGTCAAATGCTTTTTCAGCA